TATTGTTAACAATAATCCACTACAAAATATACCTTACACTTTAATCATAACATTCAAAAAGAGAATACTCCAGATTAACCATAACCCATGTTATTAAAGACATTCCAAAATAACCAAAATGTATTGTTAACAAAAACGTTCACCCTGGTCCACTCTTTTCGAGAAACTTCAGTAATACAAGTCCTTTCTTGATTAAAACTAGTTTATTCTTTCTCGATACAACTTTTTATAATACAAAGAATTTCCACAGTCGCTTTAAACTTAACAATCTTTATAACACACGCTATAAATCACAGTGATTCACACACTTTACTTTCGGTGCCTACTGTTCATTTAACTCAATTATCTATCTGTCGATCTCGCTGGCTTTCTTTGCCAGGTTTATATACTAAATAAGAGAGCGTCTAGTAAACACTCGGATATTCGGGGAGTTCCCTGATAATTCTCGAAACTCCAGCGCGCTTGCTCCCAGCGTCACGCTAATTCTGCTGTCGTAACAGTTGCTTAACAACAAATGTATAACCTAATATTGTTGTTAGTTTATGTACTGAAAGTATGAAATGAAATGTATAGCCAACAAAACTGTTTAAAAATATGTTGATTATTTAATTTAGAGTTTCGGTTGATTAAATAGGTTTGTTTTTTATTAAAAACGTTGATGATTTAACAGAAAACAGGTTAATTCAAAAACAATTTAAGTTTAAAATTGAATCGATGTTTATTCTTTCATGATAAATTTTACGCACTTGGTTCTAGGCTAGGAGATCTCGCACTACGTGTTTACTTTAGGCTAATTATACCAACAATCACTACATTTATAAGGTTTCAGGACACCCCCCCCCTCCCTCAGAGTCCCCTTGCAACCCCGTCACTCGTAAAATCGTAATGGACAGACAGTAATATAATTATTCTATCACGATAAATGCCAATTGGCTTTTATGACTCTTCCTATTTCTAGAAATCAAGCGTAACGTGACGTGACCCACGCGGTCTTTTATATAGGATAGATAGATAGTTCGTTTAGTTTTATCGTATTCATCCTGATTATGTATATATTTCATTAGAATAGTTGGTATTATTAGGTTCAAAACGAAGAACGTTTCTCTAACGTTACTGTGTTTTGTTTATATTTAAGTTGTTTTTGTTTTCAAATTCATATATTTCCGTACGTATGGTACACAAGCAAGAAGAAGATTTAATGATAAAATGTTTAAATCTCACGTAATTTTATAAATTAAAGAGGTGAACACAGTTGAATAAGTAGAGTTGTTTAAACATTTGGTTAACAACAAGTAAAAGCTTGGAATGGTCTATTCTTTAATTGGGTGTGTGTCTGTGAGCCAGAGTAGTTTCGGAGAAGTTTGATTTTCGATACCTCACTAGTATGAAGGCTTGGTTTGGTCTGATATTTCATTGGTGGTAGTGTCCAGGGTCACTGATGAGGAGTGGAATGGTGTATTTACGCATTTTACACTCACCAAAAAGAAACCTATCATTCTATAGGTATTTGAAGAACTTGTAGCAATCCTCCACAATTTAATTCTTCGTGTTGTTAGCTGACACTGCGCAGTTTGTACATAATTAAAGTTGTTTAAACATTTGTTTAACAACAAGTTAAAGCTTGGAATGGTCTATTCTTTCATTGGAGTGTGTGTCTGTGAGCCAGAGTAGTTTCGGAGAATTCCACTCCTCATCAGTGACCCTGGACACTACCACCAATGAAATATCAGACCAAACCAAGCCTTCATACTAGTGAGGTATCGAAAATCAAACCGATAATAAATTGTGTTCAAATCAGACTGGTGTATTTACGTGTTTTACACTCACAAAAAAATAAACCTATCATTATCTAGGTATTTTTGTAAATACACCAGTCTGTATGTAAGGTAATACAAAGAAGAGGAAACCATGGAAACCCAAAGGACTACTTTTTCAAAACTTGGGCAGATTACAAAGTAGGATTTGGAGATCTTAAGAAGGAGTTCTGGCTAGGTAGGTCCTGATTACAGTTTTCCAACAGATGATGTTGAAGGTATAGAAGTTCTGGGTAGTTAGGCTGTAATGAGACTTTTGAATACGTTGTTTAGAAATACAAGATATAGGATAAAAATTATTGTTACTTTGAGGATGATCTAACAATATTTATTAAAGGTGTTAACAATTATTGTCTGGTCTGACAAAGTCTTTGTTTGATAACCAACGGGATTATTTTAATACTTAAACCTTTTCTTACTCTACGAAACACTAGTTTGTTGTAACGTTTTAATCTTTGGTTTTGATATTTTGTTTGTAGTGATCTCCTTTATGTAACTGTGAAACACTTTGAAAATCTTCTTTCTTGAAAACAGTCTGATAAATGTTTATTTTAAAGTAACCTTTCATGATTTAAACATTTGCCTTGATATATTATGAAGTATGTTTTCAGTACAAACAAAACGTTTCATTATTAATATTTAGGAAACGATCGGATCTACGCTCTAACAAATCAAGGAAACTACTCAATTAGGTTTGACTTAAAGGATAAAGAAGGAAACGAGAGGTTCGCCATCTACCGGGAGTTTTGGATAGAAAACGAAGACTACCTGTATAAATTACATGTCAGTAATTACTCAGGTGACGCAGGTAATCAAAGTTCACTTTGTAATATAATTTATTACTTTATCATTATTATGTTGAATACAACTCTTTCAATTTATTATTTCAAAACAATTTAGTAGAAATATTCTTATGACGGAAAATATTTAAAATGTATAAGTTTACAGTAATAATCAAACTTTCTACACGTGTTTTTGCATGTAATAGTTTTATATTATATTATCTATAATAAACGTTACTTACCGTCCAGCCTCCTCCATCAGTATCCATGTCACAGTAAACACTGAAACTTCCAGTAGTCGTCCATGACTTGGGCCAGATACGGTACGCTCCACTGGCACGGTGTCCATTAAACAAAACATCAGCACAATCAGTAGGTCCAGGAGAAGAAGGTGGACATATGTGGTCCGTTTCTTGATGGATTAGATGATTTTCTAAGATAGAAAAAAATATTTACCTTAGCTAGGTTAGGTTGGACATATATATATATATATATATGTAAATGTTTAAATAATTTCTTTTTAATGTTATTTACTGATACCGTTTATACATTTGTTAATTAATTAAAACTGTAAATCATCCACAGGTGTAACGTAGTTTTTGTTCAGTAATAATCATTCCTTAAGTTAATATACATATATATATATATCATTTTAAATAGTTTAGAAAGAATACTAAATTTCGTATACTATATAGAAATTTATAGACTTATAAATACATAACAAAAGTTATTATATATCTGGTAAAGTGTTTACTATACTGTTGGTAAAGGTGGTATTATCCAGAAAATAGTAAGTAGAACAATGAAACCAATTTATTTATTGTTACATCTGTTATTTTAAAACAACTATAGTCACCATTTTCCTCCCTGTAAATATTTACAAACATGGACTATATACTTTATCTATTTACTCATTATTTTAGCTTTTATTATAATAACATTTTTACAATATTTTATTTTGTTTTTAGCTCATAAACACGAATTAAAACCTAATGTTACTCTCGAAAATTTAAAATACTAACGTTTCATTTGCAACTACAAATACGAATTTCACTTGTCCCATAATAACAGAAAAAGAACGAAAAAGAAAAAGAAAGACAATTTAGTTAGTCTTAAGTTTACCAGAGAACTTAAAGAACGAACTGTAAAAAGTTCATAAACAGAAATTCCATATATTAAACAATACTGTTATTATACAGGTGAATTCAA